TTATTGCTTTTTGGGGGGGGGGGGAACATGGCTAATATGGAAATTTGTTTTGCATGACTATACATATTAGTAATGGGTTCTCTTTTCTTGCCTTCTCAATGGGTAGAGAAGAAGGAGGTGGGAGGAGGGAAAGAATTTGGAACTGATAAAATAAAAGAGAACTAAAAAATAATAGTCTGTATTATCTACCCCAGGGGTGGGGAACCTGTGGCCTTGAGGTCACATGTGGCCTTCCAGGTCCTTGGGTGTGGCCTTTTGACTAAGTCCAAGTTTTACAGAACAAATCCTTTTATTAAGGGGATTTGTTCTGTGAAGTTTGGATTTAGTCAGAGGGCCAGACTTCAGGATCTAGAGGGCCACACGTGGCCTTGAGGCTGAAGGTTCCCCACCCCTGATCTACCCTAGACATTTCTTCTGAGGACAAGTCTTTGTAAATCTTAAAGTTGTATTTGAAGGTGGTTTTTATTGGAAAGAACACTAGACTGGTATCAGGAGACTGCAGTTCATGACTCACTGTCATATTAACATTTCATCACTTGGGCAAGTCATAGAATCATAGATTTAGAGTGGGAAGGCCCTGTCCAGGTCATCTGGTCCAGCCTTTTCTTCTTACAGAAGAGGAAACCAAGGTCTATTGTGGTGAAGTGATTTGCATAAGTCATAACAGAGTCATACTCTGCTCTTATCAGACCTCATCTGGAGTTTTGTGTGTTTAGAGGAGGGCAACCAGGATGAGGAAGGGCTTGGGGGCTCAAGACTTCTGAAGATTGATTGGTTGAAGGATTTGGGTTTGGAGAAATATAAAAACTATGATTGAGTATTTAAAGGGTTGTCTTGTGGAAGAAAGATTAGTTTTGTTCTGTTTAGCCCCTGAGGCAGAACTAGGAGCAGTGGGTGGAATTTGCAAAGAAACTAGTTTAGACTGCAATATCAGGAAAATTTAGTAACAGCTAGAGTTGTTCAAAAGTGAACTTGGTTTCCTTGATTTTGTGTGTGTGTGTTTTTGGGATGTGTGTGGGGTTTTTGGTTTTTTTTTTGAGACAATTGGGGTTAAGTGACTTGCCTAGGGTCACGCAGTTAGTGTCTGAGGCAGAATTTGAACTCAGGTCTTCCTGATTCAAAGTCCAACGCTTTATTCACCGTGCTACCTAGCTGGCTGTTTATATTTTCCTGCCTCTTCTATATGTATTATATGTTATAAGGAACATCACTAAATATCTGATGTGGTCCCTGGGCCCTGAAAGAGCTTATAGTCAAGTTGGGGAGCAAGGATATACAAATGATAAGAAAAATAAAACAAGGAAGCTTTCAAAATGCCACTTAAATGTGTCACTATGAGTGTGCAGAAAGCTCGTTGAGGCCTCCCTGATTTATCACCTCACTCTGATCATTCAAACTTAGTTATAGCCTAATTACTTTGCATTTGTTCATAAGCAGCCTTGTTCTTTAGCTGTTGGCTTCATGATGTCATGGATCCACCCAACCTGACTGAAAGACAAGAAAAGAGTAAGAGATAGGCTATAAGACCTAGCTCAAACATTTGTTGTTGTTGTTCAGTCGTGTCTGACTCTTCCTGATGCCATTTGGGGTTTTCTTGGCAGAGATCCTGGAGTGGTTTGCCATTTCCTTCTCTAGCTCATTTTACAGATGGGGAAACAGGGTTAAATGACTTGCTCAGGGTGTCACACAACTACCAAGAGTCTGAGGCTGAATTTGAACTCAGATCTTCCTGACTCCAGGCCCAGCATTTCATCCACTGTGCCACCTAACTGCCCTAGTTCAAATATTAGCTTTTCTATAGTCTTTAAGATTAGCCCCATCCCACACATAAAGGTATATGTGATTTCCTTTCATTCCTCTCCTAGCCACCTCTATACCATGCTCCCTGCATCCTGGTCATCATTCCCATCTTCACCCCATCCCATTCCCAGACTTGAACTTTGTCTCTAGAACCCCTGATTTTGATAGGTGAGCCTTCACCTTATCTTGCTGGAACCTGGGATCCACCATACCCCATCTCGACACCACATATTTTACCACCCTCACTTTCCATGTTGTCTCCGCCCATTCTAGATTGTATGCACGTTCCGGGCAAGGATTGCTGGCTGGCACCTGTGCTGGCAGTGCCTGGCACATAAAAAGGACTTAATAAAAGCTCTTTCTATAGAGGATGTGCCAAGAAATTTCCTTTACCAATGCAGATGCGCATGGGTTCTTCAATTTACAATCTTAGAGAGTTCCCCTGACCCATTAAGCAGTAAAGTAACTTGCCCACAGTCACACATCCTCAGGCCCAATGATTCATGACTCAAACTCAAGTCTTGCTTACCCTGAAGGCAGTTCTATCTATTGGACCAGACTGTCTCTCATCACAGAGGCAGTTCACGCAAGTCTTCCCGTGTTTCTGACTGCATGGCCAGCCTTTTATCCAATCACATTGCGCTCACTCCTCCTGGATATATCTGGTAAGTAGGTAATAAATGTTTCATAAATAAAAGAACCATTTCTTCTAAAAGGCAGCATAGGGTAAATAACCCTGAAGTAGTTGTTTATAACTCCAGATTCTAGTGGCGGCTCAAGCAGTAATTTACTATACGAACGCAGTCAAGTCATTTAGTAATAACTAACACTCCTGGGCATTTGGTTTTCTCATCTGAAAAATGTGGGGCTGGAAGATGACCTTAAACTCTCTTCATGTTCTGTAATTCTACTTTCTTTAAAATCCCAAGGCACCTAGTAGTGTCGGGCATTGGTCAAGTGCTAACTGAAAGGATCAATGTGACCGACCACACCCAGCGAGCAACACCAGCTGCAACATGTCGGAGGCTCAGCTGTTTCTTCGCACCTGTGCTAAGAAAGGAAGGAAGGAAAGAAGAATGAAAGAAAGAAAAAGAAAGAAAGAGACAAAGAAAAGAAAAGAAAAATGAAACAAAGCTATGTTCGTCTGTGATGGCTTCAGCAACAGATGAATGGAGAGGGAGGACGTGGCCGGCCACAGTGCCACACATATCCAACTCCGCATCTCTTAAAGTGGTCATTAGTCAGAAAATACTCCACTTCCGAGTCTGGCGGCAGAACAAGGTGATCAGGCTGAAAGCAAAGGGATCCCTGTGGTACCACAAAAGAAATCTGCTTCAGTCTTCCACCCCTTCCCCCACCTCAAGGCAGGATCCCGGATGGTCGAGCCTGGAACTGACTTTAGAAACTTGGAGTTTGTGCAAATCATTTACATTCCAGAGGAAATGCTACAGGCAGGGCAAGTGAATTGCCCAAGGCAAGCCCGGACTGGAACTCGGTTTGCTGCCTCTCAATCCATTGCTCTTTTTTCTAAGTCACACTGCCTCCCAAACCAAGAAATAAAATTCGGGGTGCTTAAAAGCGGAGGAAAATTTTATGAATCACACACTGCACCGACAGCGACTGAGCTCAGACACTACATGTAACAAAGCAGCAGCCCCACCAGGAAGGAGAAGGAAGGAAAACCCCTTTATAGTACAAGAAAGTCTGGGAAGGGAGGAGAGACGGGAGGAGAGGGGGTCCGCCCCGGCCTAAGTTGAACAAACTTCCAGAGAAACAAAGACGCCGAAGACTGAACCTGGCGAAAGGCCCGGAGGGGTGGGGGCAGGCCCCTAGGGAGGGAAAAAGGATAAAAAGGAGGGGGGGGGAAAGAAGGCTCTTTTGCTCCCTCATTGGTCCTCTTGGATGACAGACAGACCTTGCTGGCCAGCTTCAGCCAGATTGGCCGGTTGGGGCGCACGCGTATTCACATACCCACACCCTGAAAACAATTCAGGAGTCAAGGGAGAGAGTTGAGCATGCTCCTGCTCTCCTCCTCCCATTTCCCCATGATCGCTGCAAGAACCTTGAAGCGCATTTATTTAGTTTTAGTTTTATTTTACAGGCGGAAAAACACACGCTCTCTTAGAGTATCACAGTACTAAGCGATAAAGCCAAGTTTAGGATGCAGGTCCCTCGCTACATCTAATTCTCTCCTCTAGCCCCATTGTTTGTACCCCTGAAGGGGAAACAGGAAGACCATATGTGCAACCAACTGAGACGAGCGCTGCCTTTTCTCTTATGGCAGAATCACTACCCGGGAGCCTTTTCCGTCCATCTTCCCCATCCCTTGTGTTTGGAAATGTCTAATTCCTAGACTGTAGCCTGCTGAGTCTGTTTCCCATCTTCCCAGTCCTCCCTGTTCTCCGCAGGCTGACAGCAACTGGGTTGTTATGATCTTGAATTATTCACGATGCCAGACAGAGAAGGCTGTTCACAGCCCCAGAGCTGTGCCCTCCCAGCGGCCCCCGCCTCTGAGGGTACCCTCTGAGGCACCTCAGCCTGTCTTCCAGGACGGGCAGCTAGGTGGCCCACTGGAGAAAGCACATAGGGCTTGGAATCAGGAAGACATACGTTCCAATCCAGCCTCAATCCAGCCTCAATCGCTACTTCCCAGCTTTAAAATGGGAATAACAACAGTATTTGCCCTCCAGGGTTGTTGTGAGGATAAAATATGTTTGTAAAGAAAGTGCAATAAAAATGCTATCATTATTGTGAGAATTCCACCCCAAGAAGGCAGGATCCTCTTCTTCCAACCTGTCTGTGGCAGGCCCCATGCTTCCCCTCCCTTAGATGCTTGTTTCCCCTAAAACACTCCTCCCAGACTTTGAATCAAAGAGGGGCACCTCGACTCTGTTCTCAATACTCAGCTCTACCAGTTATAAACTAAGCCTGTGAGAAAGAGAGACAGGGTACTCAATACCAGTCTTGGGGGAGGAGAGGAATTTATTGGCTCTTCCTCCATCCAACACACGCACATCGTGTATCAGCTGTAAGCGGGCACAGCCCCAGGCAGCCTCCCCCCAACGGCCCTGTAGCCCCATGCAATGCATGAGCAAAGCTCTCCTGGGTGGAGAGGAAGGGAAAGGATGAGCAGCAAGAAATGTTTCCCCCCCCACCCCCACCCCCACCCAGAGCCAGGAAGGAGAGGGACACTGGTCAAAGGGTATTCAGCAGATTTTTTTTTTCTTGCCAACTGATGCAAGGAGGTGGTAATGGTAGCTGGCCCAGTACCAGCCAGTAGCTTGTGGCCCCAGTGTTCACCAGGGCCTAGACGGGTGTCAGGCTGGCACAGAACCCCATTCAGAGCCAGGTGGTGGTGAGGTGATGGTGTCAGGGCTCAGAGCCCGCTCTCTTGGCTGCCTCCATTGACACTGTGAGGGCGGTTAGCTCTTTCTAGCCTACGGCCAGACAGAAATCGGCGAAGGGATGAGCCAGAACTGAGGTCTCCACAGCTTCGGAGATGGAGGCTTTCACGTCCAGGCCGGCCCCAAGGGCTTCGCTGCACCTACAAAGGGACAAGGGTGGACTCTGATTATAGCCACAGCCTTGGACTGTGAGGTCAGCTCTGTGTTCTATTAGAGGAGCAGGCTTAAAGACAGTGTTCTGATGGCACACAGGTAGGCAGGGCTCTGTCCCTGGTGTACTCAGAAAAACCAAGCTGTATCTTAGTGTCTCAGAAGGCACTGTGAAATGAAGTGAGAATGGAGTAGAGGCACTTAGCACAGTGCCTAGCAGGTGCTTAATAAATGCTTATTGATTGATTAGAAGGTCTAAGGGCTTGGCTGCAAGAGTTCCAAGATGCAAAGCCAGGAACAAGACAGATATAACATAGCCATGGTCCTAAATAGTCAGGATAGAATATGTGGGTAGGTGAACAGATCAGGGCCAGGTAAGCAGATGGCTATTTTTTGCTGGATGAATTCCCCTTGATTCATACCTGCTTATGACCATGGACACTATGTCCATTGGACTCCTGTACCCTCCTGGACATCTGGAGGAAACGAGTTACTAAGCCACGACCAGGCCAGCTGCCCTTTAAATCCCCCAAAGAGTGGGCAGGTGCAGGCCCAGAAGGCAGGGGCACCTTTCGCCAGGTGGGCACTGGACGCCGCTTCTCAGCCGAACGGGCACGCAGCAACTTGGGGGAAGGGCAAGGGGCAAGGCGAAAGAGGCAGGCTTCAGAGCAGAGCCCTGCAAAGCAAGGAGGAGGATGAAGGATGAACACCAGTCACCCCATGAGCAATGAGCACACTCTCCCTACCATGCCCACCCAGAGCCCAACTTGTGTCTTGACCTGTGTCTGCAGAGGAGAGAGAAGCAGCTTCCTCCTCAAGCACTTTGGTATAAAGGTCCCTGAAATCAGCTAGACAGGAGGAGAAGTAGAGAGTAAGTACTGAGAGGGAATTCTCCCTGTGACTGGCTGCCAATGCCATTGCCTCAGGTTGCCTGATCATCTTGCCCATATGCTATTCAGCCCCCACCATTCATGGCACTGGTAGCTTCCTCAGGTCCCCTTCTGCCTCCTCCTCACCCTCAATCAAACTTGCACTTAGAGGTATGTACTTACACAGACACCATAACCTTGTCCTTACATGGAGAATTCTCCCCTGATGCTAATCTCACTTTCCTCACTTATACATCCACTCTCTCCTGTATTCCCTTGGACACCAAAACCAACCCTCTCCTGACACTTTGGCCTCAACCTTCCTCTGTCCCACTCAAGTCTGCCCCAATTCCCACCCCCCAGGTGCCTCACCAGTCTCGCTGGAGGTGGTGATGCCCGGGTCACTATGGGATCGAAGCAGCAAGGCAGGTGCCGGCTGAGGAGGCCGGTGCCCAGGGGGGGTGAGGGAGCCTGAGCTGTCACTGAATCGGCGGGCAGGTGGCCGGGCTGGAGGCACCTCTCCTCGACCACCTCCCCGAGGTCCCCGACGACGGATTTCTGGGAAGCATGGCCCAGCCCAGGGTGGCCAGCCTTCTAGCCGGTGGCAACTTCGGGCAGCAGTGGGGGCACCCAGTGTGGGTGGGGCTTCTGGGGCAGAGCAGGAGTAGGATCGGGCAGCTCGGGGTGGTCTTGGGGGCAGGGGACTATCTTCAAAGGGGCCCCGGAGCCCACAGTCCAGGCTGAGGCAGTAGCCAGCCCGGCTACGTTGGATGGATCGGAAGAGGACATAGTCCACAGAACGCACAGAACCTTGCAGCTCCAGCAGGCACGAGTCCTCAGATGGGCTAGAGCCGCCAGGGAGGTCTCCAATGGCTGAGAGCACCAGGGACCCACTGTCCATGGACACTGTGGGCACCAGGCACCCAGGGGTGACACTGAGCACAGGAGCCACTCAGCCCCAGTCCCAGCCTCAGGATTTCTCCCTGCCTCCCATAATCATTAGGATCAAAGTATCCTGGCTCCATTCCAAGGGACTCCATTTTCACACACCCCACCCCTTCACCCTCCAGAACAGTGGTGCCAAACTCAAACAGAAATCACGCGTAAGGATCCCTGTGGACTGCATGTTGACTCAATTTTTAAAATGTAATATTATCTATGTTTTATTGTATTCTTATTTATTTTGTTAAACATCTCCCAATGACATTTTAATCTGGTTCAGCCACACTCCGTAGTGTTGTGGACCACATTCAGGCTGAGGTGTCTGACACCTCTGCTCCAGAAGAAATACTCTCAGATCCATCAATCCCCAGGTATCTCTTTCCTCTGGTCTCACGACTCCTAGTGTGGTTCCTTCTACAGCCTTGACCTCATGCCTGGCAGCTAAAATTCTGATTCTGTGATTCTAATGTTTTGGACCCTAAGGTCACTGACTCAAGCTTTGTGCCCTAGCATCCCACCCCTTAGGAGATAGCCTCAAAACCACCAATCTGGGGATGCTGCCTCTTGTGAGACACCCTAAGCCCATCCTCTCACCATCCACAATGGAAGCCACTCGATCACAGATACAGGAACTATCATGAAGCTGGGGGTCAAACAGTGTGGCCTGTGGGGAGGTAGAGGGATCAGGGGCTCGCTCCTCCTTTCATCCATCCACCAACTATTCATGGTGAAGTGGAAAGAGCTCTAGATTCGGAAGCAAAAGGTCAAGGTTCTAGTCCGAGCTTCTCCATTAACTAGACGCATAATTTTGGGCAGTGACCTTCCTGAGCTTCACTTTGCTTAGAATGGGATGATAGTAACACCCTGCCCTGCTTCATGAGATTGTTGTGAGGTCGAAATGAAATAATGATGTGGGAGGGTTTGGTGAACTGCAAAGCACTGTGGCCAATTTATTGTCAAGATTACTACTTTGGCCCCAAGCCCCCAGCCCTGCCCTGCCCTCCACCCTCAGCTCTGTCCAAACCCCATCCACACTTCACCTGGCTATCTCCTCGGAGTCCCATGACAGCTTCATAGGATGGGGGGCAATCGGTGGGGTATAAGGGCACTGGACTGTCCATGGATCCATTATAAGTGATGCTGAGAGAACGTGGGATAATGTCAGCCCAGGACCCCCCCCCCAAATCCTTCTTCCAATTTTCTCCCTTTCCTGCCTCCCTCCCTCCCTTCTCCCTTACAGGTGATCTTTGCCCCCAGCCCCTACCCCACCTCTGGGCATCAGTCTCTGAACTGCAGGTATACTCTGGGGGATAATACGGAGGTGGGGGAACCGGGGGCACAAATTCTTCCAGGTCCAGCATAGTATGGAGCAGAGGAGCTGGGGGAGACACACAGCCCAGGGGCCCCAGAGTACCTGAGGCTGAGTGCTCAGGAGCCAGCTGGGAGGGGGAAAAGAACATGGTCATGCAGGGTCCCAATCCCTGCCCCCTCTTTCCTCTTGGCCCCTTCCTCGTAGCCACACCATCCCCAACCTCTCTTCTTTTATTCCCACCCTCTAGAACCTGCTTAGATCAGATAAAGTAATGTGTGTAAAGCAATTTGCAAATGTTAAAGCACTTTATAAATCTTATTATTGTTGTTACTGTTAGTACCACATGCTAGCTCCTTTTCCTTCCTGACCCCACAACTCTCCAGAACATGCCTCCTTTAGGCAAACACTGCCCCACACCCAAATTTCACTCCTCTTGGCCATGCCTTCCCCACCACAGCCTCAATCTGCCTGTACTTTCTGGCCTTCTATGGGACACCCCCCCATCTCGCTCCCCACACTCCTGGCCTCTGATATCTCCCTTCTTGCCCTCAGCCCTGCCTTCCACAAACAGCCCTCCCCCCCCACCAAATTCCCTCTGTTCTTTCCTTGCCCTGGTCCCCATCATCTCACCGTGTGCACAAGGTCGAGAGAGAATATCTGGATGCAGCAAACAATGGCAGAGAGGGCACAGACAATGGCAGCACAGACAGTGAGGCCGCAGACACTGAAGAGAAGGTTCTGAAGAAATGAAGGAGGAAGGGGAGTGGGTGCACAGGGAGGGCAGTGGCACTTGGGCCCAGCTCATACTTTGTTCCCGAGCATGGGAGTGGTGTGCCTGAGAAGAGGGGACGGCAACTCTGTATGTGTGCAGTTGAGAATAGAGAAGACAGGTGGGCACAGGGTCTGAGACAACGTTACAGGGCTGAGGCAGGGAGATGTTCTCTTTCTACAAGGGAAGCTCACCTTGAGAGCCCCTAGAGCATCAGCACAAGTTGTGCTAAGGGATATTTTCAGCTCCTGGCCGGAGTCCCTGCAGGGTCTAGGCAAGTGAAAAGAGGGGCAGCAGACACAGACCTTTCCTTCCTGGGTTGGAGGGCAAAATTGGACAGGCCTGAGTTAAGGGCAAAACCAGGTATCCAGCCCCCTGGACCTTCCTGGAGTTCCTCTTCCCTTCACCTTACCATTGAGCACTCTTGGAAATCCCGTGCCAACTGAGCATTCTTACAGGAAAGGACGGAGCCAGCCAGGCTGAGCATGACACACAGTACGGAGAGCAGGGAGAAGAAGGAGATCTAGGGGGCACAGAGGGTATCAGGCTGAGTGCAGGGGCTAAACCACAGGTGTTCCCAGGAGCTTACCTCCCTGTGGGTGCCCTGATCTAGGTGATTTGTCACTCTTGATGAGTCCCAGGAAGTAAATCCTACCCACCAGGCACTGTGGAGGTTATTTCCTCTTTTAGAGGACATGAGTGGGCAATCCCCCCATTGGGCATCACAGAGTCCTCAATATAAGTTGGTATGAGTGGGCACTGCTCCCCTTGCACCTACCACCAGAGTGAATGGTCTCTTCCATGATACGATGCCAACTACCCCTGAGAATGCCAGCTGGAGACAGAGTGGGCACAAGCTCAGGCTCAACCTGGCATGAGGAGGACATTTCCAACCCCTTGTCCCCACCTCCCCCTTCCTTCAGTACCCACCCAGCCAGAGACAGAGACAGAAGGATCTTAGGCCTGGAGGGGCATAGGTCAATAGGGTTACCAGGGCACCACCTTCTCCAGTTGTCAGGCAATGCCATGAAATGGGAAAAGGTAGAGAGAGGGGAGGAGGACATTAGGGATCTGGATTACAGGCTGGGGGAGGGGACGGTGGGGAAAAACAACAAAGGACCTCTCCTTATCCCTCAGTACTCACCGAGAAGCCAGCCCATGATGGGTAGGACCTCTTTATGTTTTCTGTGGAGGTGACTGAAGAAGCCACCATGCTGAAGGTGACCACCAAGACACCTAGTATCACCTGGGCCAGCCCCAGGGTAAGCAGAGCTTGGAGCCAAGGCCGGTGGAGCCGGAGATGGGTGAGGCCTCTGGTACTCGGCCGGCTGGTCAGTGAATGGCTTGAATCACTGGGTGAGGGCATTGTGCCCACCCCCTTGGAGCCTGCCTCTGTTGCAGTCCCCCCTGGCACCTGAGGGCATTTCAATTAAACCCAAGGGCCACTCCCTTCTTCTCTCCACCTATTCCCCCACCCCCACCCCTTAGCCAAGGAACCCACCCCCTGCCTGGGTCCCAGGGTGCATGGCCCAAATGTTCCAGTTAGAGGGATGTCAGAGGGCACTTGAAGAGACTGGGGTGGGATGGGGGGAATCTGCTTGTCCCCCAGGGACGGAGGTCACGTGGGGGCAGCAGGAGGCTCTCTCCCCACAGCAGGCAGGGGGTGGGCACAGTGCCCGGGGGCAGCTCGAAGGAAGGGGGGGCACCGGTTCATTTCATCGCCCTAGGGATGGGGGGTGGGGGAGGGGAGCAGGGAGGGGCCAGGTTCCCCCAGGGAGGATGGAAGGTAAGCTCTAGGATGCTAGAGAAGTGTCAGTAGGGACAGGGAACGGGGTACAGAAAAGAGTCTGGGGAAATGGGGTGGGGGGGTAGAGAAGTGGGGAGGGTCGGGAGGGAGGGTTTGGGATAAGACTGGAGACGCTGATGCGTGCCGGATGATGCCTGCGGGTGGGGGTGGGTGGTCGGCCCGGTAGGGTCTCGAGGCCTTAGTGGGGTGTCCCTTAGAGGTCCGGGGCTTCTTGACGGGGTATGGCTCCGCTGCAGTGCCGTCTCCCCGGGCGGCCAGCCCAGCTCGGCTCCCCGGGATCCTGGCTGCAGCAGGTCCAAGAGGGAGGAAACGGGGTTGGGGGGGAGGGATGGGGGATGGAGAGGAGGGGCGGGGTGAAAAGGGCTAGCGCTGAGCAGTCTGGGAGCTGTAGTCGGGTCCTGGAACCACTAAGGTGGGGAGGAGGGGGCCGCCTGGCGAGAGGAGGGCGGGGCTGGCCCCGCGCCCTCCCCATCCCCTCCCCCCCTTATTCTGGTTTTGTGGTGCCCATCCAAGTCGGAGCCATTCACGCCAGACCTCGCACTTATCATCCCATTTATCTTCGGAGCCCATCCTGCCCCACCCTACTCCTGCCCTCCCCCAGGGAAAGAGCTGGTTCTGGGCAGCTGCGGCTTCTCCCAACCAGCTAATGGAGGGTGGAGTCTGGGGAGGGCCCTCTCAGCAGCTTGGCTTTTCTGAGCTCATCCTAGGCCTGGCCCTAGCCCACCCACCCACCTCTTGGCCTTAAACCACATCTTTCCAGGTTCCTAGTCTTCATCCTCAAACCCTTCCGTCCCGATGTCCCCACAAAGACACAGAGGCTTGCTTCCAAGTTCTACTTTCCTTTATTTAAATAACTGAAGCATTAGCCTTGGCACAGCAGAGAGAAGCAGGGGCTCCCAAGGTGAGGTGAGGCCTGGACAGGTGGGACAGGGGCAGGCAGTGGTTGGGACTGGGATCAGTACCCCAGCTTCCCCTCACCCTCTTGGGCAGGCCTGTTCTCACTGCCACAGAGATTAAGGAGGAGAGACAACGAATGAAAACACTTCTCTCTCTCCAAAATCGATCCCGGGGAGAGATGAAAGGGGAGTAGAGCCAACTTCATCCAGAGCCAAGGTTGGGGTGCACCAGCCAGGGAAGGAGATAAGTAGGTGAGGAAGAGGAGAACATTATGGGGTCCGGAAGGCATTGTTGGCAGCACCTGCAGCTGCATTGGCCGCAGCCGTTCGGACTGCAGGGTTGGAGAAGACACCGGCAGCAAACTCCTGCTGGGCCTTCTGGAAACTGGCACCTGTGCGGCGGTACAGGGAGTGGATCTGGGTATTGTGAGAAAGGGGAAGGACTTTAACATGGTGACAGCCACATGCAGGCTGCTCAGCCTACCATTACTAAGGGCCAGCTTTCATCTGACCAATTATCTCTTCTGTCATTCATCTGCACCACCCAGCGAACGCTTGTAAGCCATGACTCTTGGGAACAAGGCAGCAAGGGGGATCCAAAGGTGAGTGGTGAAGAAGCATGTAGAAAAGGGTGATGAGTGACTCTTGAGTTAAACTCAGATGTCCTCAGATGCCCCCAGGAGGCTGACCCTAAACCTTTAGCATCCGATTACCAAGGGGCCCATCCCCTCTCTGTCCTGGCTCCAGGCCCTGCTCACAATGAGATTGGCCCAAATGATAATGAGCACACTGATGCCCCTAACAGTGATGGGGGTTATGAGGAGTAGGGAAAGCATATGCACCAGTTCTCTTCTTTGGCTCCCTGCGGCCCCTTCCATACCTAACAACTGGCTCTACCTTCCCTTTCAGTGTTCATCATATTAAAACCGATTCAACAAAAACTACATATCTATCACATGCAAGGCATTGGGGAAGATACAATAAGACCCAGACCCCGCTCTCCAGTCCCTGTGCATCCAGCACCCTGTAACCAGCCTATACTTAAAATGCCCCAATTTCTTTTCCCTTCACAAAAGACCCCCACATTCCTCCAACTTCCCAGCCCTGCCCCAGTCCCCTGCCCCTCATTACCCGTTTCAGCATCACAATGCCCAGCACAGCAATGCCAGTAAAGAACAAGGCGACTAGCAGCATGAGGACGCCCACAACTGTGTTGATCCTCAGCACCGTCAGGGCCCAGATCCAGCCACTGTCATTGGAGAGAGGAAGAGAAGGGAAGCACGTGTCACAGCCAGGCCCGCCGGGGTGTCTCTTTGGGTCCCCTCATCAATTTTCTTTCCAGTTTCCCATCCATCCAGTTAAAAGTCCCTATCATCCAGATCCCATCAGCACATGTGGCCCCACAATTCCAAATCTGTAACAGCTGTCTTTCTCTTCCTGCTCAATCTCAACGTTCTTAGCAATTTCTCTCCTATGACTCTACGTGTCACAGCCCAGATTGGATTATTTACTTCAGTGTACTCTATTTACTCTCTCACTGCTGGACCTCGAGAACTCCTCTCTCCATTCCTTTTCCTGTAACACTGTCCTTTCTGCTTACATTCCCTGTTCTATACTCTCCTCTTCCAGGAAGCCTTCCCAGGCTGACCAACTACAGATTTTCTCTTAATCACTCATTCCCATCACTGAGGTCTAGAGCTCTCCAATCAATTTTCTGACTTCTTAGGAATTCACTCTGTCTCCGTCAAACTAGAAGCTGTTAGGACCTTAGCACAGTGCCTGGCACACAGTAGGTGTTTAATAAATGTTCACTGACCAAATGACTAGGGAGCTCCTTTTCTTTCTCTGGATGCCATTCTTTTCTCATTTTCTTTCTTCTTGCCACCTGATAAGAGTTCTGCCTATATGGAGCACTCATGACAAACAAGAGAAAGGGCACAGGGAGAGAGTGGACAGACTAACCTGAATCCTGATAATGGGATGCCAATGGCCGCCAGCACATATATCACATCCTGGACGAAGAAAATGAAGAAGAAAATGAAGAAATTGAATGAACTGTCGCTCCTGCAGGGGAACAGAAAGAGATAGAAGGAAGAGATGTTAGGTATAGGGGCAGACATGGGGCACACCCAACAACCTTCCTCTCTCCCACAGTCCCATCCTTGCTCACCTGAAAGCCTTGTACATAGGGCGGTACCAGCAAACAAAGGAGCAGGGCGTGAAGAGTAGGGCCCAGAGGATGGAGAGCCCAAAACTAGAGCCACTGGAAATAGGGGTAACACAGAAAGAGGCCAGGCAGGCAAGGAAATTCAGGAGAAGGGCCAAGGTACTGCCTGGGTTGGGGAGGGAGAGAAGCAAAGGGAACAGTGTCAACATGGATGAAAATAAAGTCTACCTCAGTATTAACAACCCATATCCTCATCTCCATTGCAAAAAAAAGATGTTAAAGAAGTGTCCAGCAGCTAGCTCTGCAGCCATATTTCCACAAAGCCTTCACAGTTACAGCTAGCTGAAAATGTTCTTCAACTTTTCCTAGAGAGTGGATTTCTTCTTTGTCCCATCCCACCCCGCCTGATATTTATTTATGTGTACGCTGCATCTCTCCACTAGTCACATATTGATGAGAATGTAAGCTCTATGAGGGTAGGGGCTATGTCATTTTTTACATTTCCAGTGCCTATCATATAGTAAGGACTTAATAAATGTTTGTTAAATTTGAGTGAATAAATTAACAAATGTTTATACAGCATTCCCATAGCAGAAATTCATAAAAAGGGAAAAGTCTATCCTAGAATCCTCCAAACTTGGGGCAGCTACATGGCGCAGTGGATAGAGCTCTGGCCTTGGAGTCAGGAGGACCCGAGTTCAAATTTGACCTCAGACACATAATACTCAGTAGCTGTGTGACTCTGGGCAAGTCACTTAACCCCACTGCCTCATCAAAAAAAAAAAAAAAAGGAATCCTCCAAACCAATGGCAAATTACAGATCAAGCAAATAACAAATATGTGTGATACGTGGGGAACTGCACTTAGAGGAAAGGAGTGGGAAGTCAGAGATATGTGGGCAGGCTGGATAATGGGTTCTGGTGGTAGTAGTGGGATCAAGGAAGAAGGCTTCCTAAAGGAGATAGCCTTGAGATATGATGGCAAATTAGTTAGAGATACTATTTTATGACAGGTAGAAAGAAATTTAGATATATGAGATGGCTTGGAAGCAAAAGAGGGAAGTTTCAGGCTCTCTTTTCCTCCCTGAAAGATACTCTTACTCTTGTACCTAAACAAAGCCCTGTAGTTCCCCACCACTCACACATCCAGAGGTAGTACATAGTAGACACTGTCTTCTGGAACTCCTGGGGAATCTCCATGGAGACGTCATGGAAGAAGCAAGGTTGGACAGGGCAAAATGACGGCACTGGAGGCCAGTTGTTCTGTCGGGCTGCAAGGCATAGAGTGGCCAGGTGAGAAGGATACTAGAAGGATGTCAGAGACCAAGAGAGTCAAATTCAACAGATGAATTTCTCTATTCTCCATCAGAAGGTTCCAACTCAGAGACCCATGAACGGTGCCAGTGAGAGAATGGTAGGAATGGCATTAAGTAGAAATAATCCCTATCCCTTTCGTGCTCATTTCAGAATGTTAGAAGATGTCACTCCCTGCCTGCATCCCACAAGAGCTGGCATGGTGTTTTGTTGCCATCACCAAAGACTTACTGGCAGAACCCAGGGCTGCATGCCGCAACTCCCTCTCCCTCCGGTCCAGCTCCTCTGCCTTTCGATTGAGCTCCTCCTGCCTTTTCAGAAGTTCTGCGGTGGCTGCTGCAGCTGAAGCCTACCCAGAGAGAGAAAGGCAGAGGATGAGTCAGTCCTGGGACTGTGTACCCTAGGGATAGCGCTGAAGGGCATTGCTTAGCCCCAGGTACTTCTTCACACACAATACCTGAGTGTTATAGGAGCCATAATTCTTAGGTTCTGTGGGGCTGATTTTTCTGGAAGGCTGCTGGTGGGGCTGGATTGTTGGTGGAGGCGGTGGGGCAGGTGGCTCATAGGAAGGTGGTGACTGTTAGATAAAAGACAGAAACAAAGAATCTTAGAGCTAACCTTAGAAATCATCTAACTTCCCAACCAACACACAGCACAGTGACTGGGGCATGACAAATTTTCAATAAATTAATGTGGAATGGAATTAAATATAGGATTCCCTTTCACAATATCCCTGATAGAGAGCCCCTGATTGCTCGTTGAACACTTCTAATAATGGGAGGGGAAGGGGGACAGTAGAAGAAAGCTCTAATTGTTACTTCTTTTCTGCTTTGATCAAAAATAGGAAAATACCAAGTCACCTGCTCTGATTGATTCTCATATCCCATCAGAGACATTAGGCAAGAGCCCAAGGCT